TAAATGAAAGTTTAAATGTGTTCTGTAAGTACCCTGTTTATTGTCTTTGCAGAAACTGGCTAAAGATAGAGAATGTTAAGTCATGTCCAACTCTTTCTTTATAACAGATAATGAACCAAACCAAATCCCAGGGCCCAAGAGGACTTTGGCGCCAACTCGTACAGCAGAACCAAGTCAGGTAGTAGATCTAAAACAGGGACCTCAAGAACTTCAGGAAAGGAAAATCCAGGTGCTTGAGGAGAAAGTTCTCCGACTTACAAGGACGGTTCTTGACCTCCAGTCTTCTATTGCTGGAGTGAATGAAAACCTCAAACATGCCATCCAGGATGACGCCAGTAAAATGTTGGTATCATGGTTCAGCAACGTGCATCCCCAGCCAACACCTGACAGTGCTGTTGGTGGAGACACAGAAACAGTCCAACTTCCTGGCATCAGCAACAAGGAATCTGGCATGAAGGACATCAAGTCTGAATTGGCTGAAGTCAAGGATACTCTGAAGACCAAGAGTGACAAGCTAGAAGAACTTGATGGGAAAGTGAAGGGTTATGAAGGGCAGCTCAAACAGCTCCAGGAGGCTGCCCAGGGCCCTACAGTGACTATGACGACCAACGAACTCTACCAAGCCTATGTGGATAGTAAGATCGATGCCCTGAGAGAGGAGCTCATGGAGGGAATGGACAGAAAGCTGGCCGATTTGAAGAACTCTTGTGAGTACAAGATGGTTGGCCTCCAGCAACAGTGTGATGACTATGGGAGCAGCTACCTGGGTGTGACAGAACTCATAGGAGAGAAGGAAACAAACCTGAGAAAAGAAATAAATGACCTTCGAGCCCAGCTACAGAATCCTTCAGTCCAGGCAAACTGCTGTGACCATGAAAAGAATGGTGACTTTGGTCAACAGATTAAGATGTTAGACCAGAAGATTGAAAGAGTTGCTGAAGCCACCAGAATGCTGAATGTGCGACTGGACAATGAGTTTGATCGCCTCGTAGTTCTAGAACCTGAGGTGGACTTTGATGCAAGATGGAATGAGCTAGATGCAAGGATCAATGTGACAGAGAAGAATGCGGAAGAACATTGCTTTTACATCGAGGAAACCCTTCGGGGGACCATTAGTGGAGAGGTAGATGAGTTGAAGCAACTTCTCGACCAGAAAATACAGTCTTTGGAAGACCGTCTTGGGAGCAGTCTCCTGGAGATTGCCAACAACACTGATGCAGAATTCACTCCCTCAGGCTCAGCTCTACCAGGTGTGTCGGGGTCAGGGAATGAACAGGTCATGACTGACTTAAACCACTTGAAGGATAGAGTTCAAGTTGTTGAGGATATTTGCCGGCATAACTCCCAGGGAGAGCCTCATGGGATAGAAGGTACTCTGCCAAATGGGGAAGACCACATAGTGGGTGACAGTTCAAGGCTTTTGAAATCTCTGAATGACACAATGCACAGGAAGTTTCAGGAAACTGAACGCAACATCCAGAAACTTCAACAGGATTTCAGTTTCCTTTATTCTCAACTAAATCACACAGAAAATGATGTGAATCTTCTTCAGAATGAGATGAGCAATTGTAGAGAAGGTAAAAACACTGAAGGGGGTGGGTTTACTAAGAGGGATGAGCAAGAAAGGACAGACGAGACTCTCCCGTCTCGACAGGATCCCACGGCACATTGCAGCCAGCTGGAGGAGAGGTTGCAGAGGCTGCAGAGCCAGGTCCTTAGTAGCCTGGACACTTGTAAAGAAAACACACAAGGTGTCCAGACAGAGGTCTCCATGGTTGAGGGCAGAGTGTCTCAGATGGAGAAAACTTGCAGCAAACTGGACTCCCTCTCGGAAAGTCTTCACAAGATCAAGGAAGGGCTCAACAAGCATGTGAGCAGCCTGTGGAGCTGCGTCAGGCAGATGAATGGTACCCTCCGGTTGCATTCCAGAGACATTTCTGGCCTGAAGAGTTCTGTCCAGCAGTTCTATAGCCACGTTTTCCAGATTTCTACTGACCTGCAAGATCTGGTCAAATTTCAACCATTGGCAAGTAAGTTGACCTTTACAATTCCATTTCTTGTATTTGTTTGCAGCATGTGACAGTATTCTGCTAGATTTTGGACAGTTTGTGGAATTCAGTAAACTACATGAGTGCTACCCAAGGTGTGGTCTATGGATTGTGCCAGTTTGTGAATTGCTGCTCATTGTAGCAATCTCATTGTAGCAATGAGAGAAACAACAACTTTGAGAGTGAGCATTTAGAAACTTTTAAAATAATTTGAGTCCCTGTGTGTGCAAATGTTTAATGTGCTCAGCTGCTAACCCATATGTTGCAGTTCAAGTCCATCTAGAGGCTCCTCAGAAGAAAGTTCTTGTGATCTACTTCCAAAAAACCAGCC